CAGGGGAGGCTGTGCACAGCCAGAGAATGTCTGCCCATGCCAAGTCTGCCAACTCCACGTGCTCCTAAGTGTTCTGTCCTCAGGCGTCAGAGGGCTGCCTGGTCCCTTGCTAGCTGGGAAGGACAGCCTCATCAAGTCCAGGCCCTCCCGGATCTGTTTTTCATGGCGCTGCAGCGGCCCTGTCCTCTTAGATAGCTCCATTTGGCTCATTTCATCACATCAGCTTTCACAGCTGAAGAGACGTGTTTGGAGAGACACACAGTTTTGTTTCCTCTGACCTCCTCTCCCTTCTCTCTGACCCCTCCGTCTCCCCCTCAATTCTCCTCTCTCCTTCCTTCTCCTTTTCCCCAGTTACAAAACAAAAGCTTTCACTCCCATGACTACCAACAGAACTGGGTCAGTCTGTCTGACTTCGCAGTGGGAGGGGAGATTGTTCTAGCAACAGCCGGCAAAGTCAGGGTTACACAGGCCCTGTTTTTAAAAGGATTCGAGGCGGGGCATTTTGCCACAGCCTTGCTGCTCAAAGTGTGGTCCCCAGACCAGCAGCATTGGCATCACCTGGGAGCATGTTAGAACTACAGAACCACAGGCCTGAGACCTAGTGAATCAGAATGTGCCGGAATGCATGTGCACATTAAAGTTTGGGAAGCGTTCTGCTACGAGACCAGATGACTGAAGGGGGAGAGACTGGGGGAGAGAGAAGCACAAATGTTCTATTTTTCGGGATCTCAACACTGACCACCAACACCTGAAACTCAATTTCTCACCATTCTCCTCTCACTTTACCTTCCAAGTCTCTGAGGAGAGTCTGCAAAGCAGTTTCCAGAATCTTCTGGTGACGAAAGACAGAGAAATGGAAGGTGCCCATTACACGTGGGCTAAATTTTTGTTTTTCCTTTCTGAGTTGTTAGTGACCAGGGCGGGGCGTCCTAGAACTATGGGATGGGAGAGGAGCCGTGGATGGGATAATAAAAAGCACAGGAGAAATGTGGTTACTGAGGGTTATTAACTGATTCTCTTTAAGTTCTTTGAAAGACATGAGCAAAGAATGGATTCTTTTTTAACAGAGGTTTGGGGCTATTATACTATAGTATTTCTTTGACAGGCAGTGTTGCTCCAGGCCTGAAAACCCAGGATGTATGACTTCTGAGAGTTACACATGACCAGGGGTATGCATGGGCCAGCAGAGCGCCTGCCCTCCACCCCCAGTCCCAGCCCCACCCCCACCCGGAATGTGCTCAGGATCCTGGGGCTGAAGCTTGAGTTTGTGCACTGGAGAGCAAGTTTATTGCTCCAGCTAGACTGGAGCCATAGAACTAGTTAGACTCAACCAAGAGCTGGGTTTCAACACTTGGCTGTCATTCTTTTTTTTTTTTTTTTTTTAAGATTTTATTTTTTCCTTTTTCTCCCCAAAGCCCCCCGGTACATAGTTGTGTATTCTTCGTTGTGGGTTCCTCTAGTTGTGGCATGTGGGACGCTGCCTCAGCGTGGTCTGACGAGCAGTGCCATGTCCGCGCCCAGGATTCGAACCGACGAAACACTGGGCCGCCTGCAGCGGAGCGCGCGAACTTAACCACTCGGCCACGGGGCCAGCCCCACTTGGCTGTCATTCTTGATCATCCACTGTGTGCCAGCAAATCCCCACATTTTCTTTTTGGTCTTTCAACAATCCCGAACGTGGAATGTTATTTATCCTATTTTACATCTGAAGAAACTGAGGCTGGCTTCCCAAGGTCCTCACCTTTCTTCCTCATCCTCCTCCCACAGCACTAAAGCGACGCTTACTCCTGGCTGGCAGTTTTATGTCTTTATTATTGGTGGATCCTTATTCTCATCTACTTTGTGAGGAAAGTGGGTCAGGGTTTACCATCCCCATTTAACAGAGGAGAAAACTGAGCTTCAGAAAGACGATTTGAGCTAACCAAATCTTTCCCAGACAGACTCAAGTGTTTAGGGGAGTCTGATATAAGAAGCCGGAAACCTGGCTAATGGAGCGCAATGTGGGCGGACTGACCCGGCGTTTAAGATGCAAACCCAGTTGGGGGCCACCTCGCTCCTTTACCTGCGCTGCACCACCCCTAGGGGCGCTGTGTTACCGTCTGAGCCAAGACCTGATGTTTTCTTTGCGGGCAGCAGAGGGCAGCAAAGGCAGTCCCGCCTCTGTGTGTCAGCACGGCCCAGCAGCCCGGAAGCCGTCCATCCTGCGCTTACCTGGCCGTCAGGGAACCCAAGATTCCGAGAGGGCAAGTTCAAGGTCATCCAGGTATCAGACAGACCCAGGCTTACAGCCCAGGCTTCCTGCTGATAGCATCTCAAGTAGTCACACTCCATGATGGTGCCCGATTTCATCCATTCCAAGACGCACATTTTTTTTCATATCTTTGCATCTCAAACCAGAATGTATTTTACATCGATGCCAGGAGAAAGTACTGCCGTTGTTTACATGGCAGTGCGTCTTTTATTCTTTCTTCCTTTCTTAGGAATACATAAAATAATGGTGCCTCTCACAATCGATGACATCTTAAATTCGTGAAATGCTATACTAGTAAAAGCCTCTTTATTGAACTCTGTGTGTGACATGGATTATTTCCTTTAATCATCGCAACTCTAGGATGGAGGTATTATTACCCCTACTTTGCAGGTGAGGAAACAGAGAGAGAGAGCAACTAGACTACATTTGCACACCTAATAAATAATACTTTGTTCCTTCCACAACAAAAGATTCTGGGTCTTGAATGATAACAAGCTTCATTAAAAAATGCAAATGTGCAAGTGGCTACAATCAGGTAACAGCATGGAAAGTTCCCTGAGGGCCAGTATGAGTTAAAATCCAGACTGGAAGGGGTAGAGTGGGATGTGGATGAGAATCCTAGAACAGAGGGAAGTCTGAGGTCAGAGGTGGGTTGGGAGAGGCAGTATGCCGAGGAGGCAGGAGAGGGGCTTGGAAAGGGAGATGAGAAAGAAGAGGGCACAATCTTGACAAACTCACCCTGAAAATCCCTCCTCTGGCATGAGGACTAGCTCTGAAGTTTGGAAACATCTCTGCAAATTCAGCCCAGTCCCTGTCCCCCACCCCAAGCATCTCCCCATCTGATCCCTGTTCTTTCTAGGCCAGGAAGAGAGTAAAAGGGAAAGTGAGAGAGGAAGAGATACAAACAAGAACTCACTTCCTCCTTCTTGCATTTAATTACTGAGACAGTCGAGCACCTTTTTCTTCCTCTTATTATTGTTTTCCATCAAAATATTTTTAGAATTAGTTTATATGAAGATAAATGTGCTGTGAAGATGAAACCAGGGGCCAACCTGCTTTAACTATACTCAGTTGTGTGTCTGCAACAGTAGTTAGATAATGCCTTACTCAAGCCCACCCTATAGATAACATTTCTGATGCTTGGGTCACCATGGTAATGGGTGCTTAAGTTTTTCAGGAACTGAGAACTCCTTGTCCAGTTGAGGTCGGTTAAGACCACTGACTCAGGGGCCCGCCCTGTGGCTGAGCGGTTAAGTCTGCGCGCTCCGCTGCGGCGGCCCAGGTTTTCACTGGTTCAGATCCTGGGCGTGGACATGGCACTGCTCCTAGGGCCACATTGAAGCGGCATCCCACATGCCACAACTAGAAGGACGTGCAGCTAGGATATACAGCTTTGTACCGGAAAAAAAAAAAGATTGGCAACAGTTGTTAGCTCACGTGCTAATCTTTAAAAAAAAAAAAAAAGACCACTGACTCATCAACTGGGCCTGTGCAAATGCCCAGTAGGTGACCCCTTGACATCAGAGGGCGGGCGGAAAACTTCCCCCTCAGATCATGCTAACACCACCATTTTGTGAACACGAGTCCTATGAAGAGCCATGAAGCTTCACTACGCTTGCACAGATCAATTACCTCACTTCTCCTTACCTACAATCATCTGTTCCCACACTGCAGACAACCCTACCCATCTATCCCACCAATATCTCTAATCCCCATTTTCAGAGAGGCAGATTTGAGACTTATTCTCCTGTCTCCTTGCTTGGCTGCCTTGTGAATAAACCCTTTCTCTATTGCAAACTCATTGTCTTAGTGATTGGCATACCATGCGGCAGGAAAATGAGCCTGGTTTGGCAACAATTATCAATGTCCAGTGACAAGCCTCAATTTCATCTTTTGCACCTGGAAACCCTTGTGTATCTATTGTTGCAGATGACACCCCTGGGTGCTAGGAGGAGAGGGAACTAGCACCCTCTTTTACAAAGGAGAAAAGAGATCCAGCAAGGCTTAGTGCTACACCATCCCCTCGGCAGAGCTGGGGCATCCCCACCAGCCATAGCTGGGTACCCACTGTGAGGGCAAGCATTCCATGAGGTCTTCCAACAACCCTCATAGGAAAGGCTCAGAGACACTGAGTGACCTGCCTCAGTCCCCCCCAGCTAGTAGGTGATGCAGCCAGGATTGAACTTAAGTCTGTTTGACTCCTAAGCCCAAGCTGACTTTACTACCCAGGCTGCCTGAATTGACAGGATCTCCAGGAACCTGTTCTCTGTTTCAAGGGCTGCTCCCCACAATCCCCTCCCCTCCCTTGCTCTCCACCACCACAGTGTTTGAGGCTGGGGCTGGGTTTGAAGTGCCTTTTTCACTTATACTATTCCTCTGCCCCCAGCCATGAAGCTGGACCCAGGCTCTGCCACTTCCAGGAAGATTTATATCTGTGGGCAGAGATGTGTATCTGTAGGAGGTAGGTCAATAGCCTACCCAGGGGCCGGCTCCGTGGCCGAGTGGTTAAGTTTGCGTGCTCCGCTGCGGTGGCCCAGGGTTCGAATCCTGGGCGGGGACATGGCACTGCTCGTCAGGCCACGTTGAGGCGGCATCCCACATGCCACAACTAGAAGGACCTGCAACTAAGATATACAACTGTGTACGGGGAGGGGTTGGGGAGATAAAAGCAGAAAAAAAAAAAAGATTGGCAACAGTTGTTAGCCCAGGTGCCAATCCTTAAAAAAAAAAAATAGCCTACCCAGTCCCTGCCCACCGAAGCCTTCCTGGGCTGCAGGAAATGATCCTTTTCCCTGGCCACTCCATCTACTGGGGATGCAAGTCAGGTAGGATGATAAATAATACTAAACTATAGCTGAACAATTTTATACTTCATCGTACATTTCTCATCCATTAATCCATTTGGTCCTGATACCAGCCCTGTGAAGAAGGTAGAAAGTACCCTTCTTGTTCTACAGGCAAGGAAACCGAGGACCTGAGAGGTTAGGTAGGGTCTCCAGGGTCAGAGGAAGAGGCAGACACTAGGCTTGAGCCCAGCATTATAAATCCCCAGGACTAGGGCACTCTCTAATAAGTATTCACCGGGCTCAGACCGCAGTGAGGGTTAATTGAATTTTGTGTTCTTTTTATTTTCTCTCAACTCAGCATAGGGAGAGGAGATGGAGGGCTGAGAGGAAGGTAACTGCAGAGACCTCTGTGGGGAAGGGGGTCAGCGGAGGGCTGGATGAGGATGCTGCAGTCCTGGGGAGGGTAGGAGAAAGGAACCAGAGAGAAAAGTGAGCTGATTCTGAAATTGTCCTCGGGGCCCACTGAGACTCAAAGTTAAGGCGGGAAGGTGTCTTCTACTTGCTCAGGGCCCTGGAGAGAAAGGTACTTTACAGACATTCCCTAGGAGGCTTGGGAGGAACACCTCCAAGCTCTCCAAGGTTGGGGGGAGGGGGCAGGGAGAGAGGGGAGATGGGGGGCACCCAGTTGCCCTGGGAGTGGCCACATTGTGAGGTGGTTCTGGGCACAGGCTGTGGGGTTGGGGTGAGAGGAGACAGAGGTGGTGGGGGCAGTGGCAGCATCCTGGGCTCTGCCTGCCCCCACCCCCTGCCTGGGGGCTTCTGCCACCACCACCATCATGGGCAGCGCTTATCACTGGGAGGCCCGTCGCAGGCAGATGGCTTTGGACCGGAGGAGATGGCTGATGGCCCAGCAGCAAGAGCAGCAACAGCAGCAAGAGCAGGTGCATGAGAGGGGCCAGGTTCATCGGGGTCTTTCCAGGGGCAGGAAGGGACTGGGGAGGAAAGACAACCCTTAGGAAGCTGTCTACTATTTAGTGGATGTTGCTTTGCTGGGGGTAGGAGGAAAGCAAGGTCCTCTGATGTTCTCTTGGATGGACTGTGTGTGTATGTGTGTGTGTACTGGGGGACTCAGCTTTGCTGTTGTGCTAGGCTGAGGCTTAGTAGGGGGTGGAGGGGGTCGGCCTGGGAAGTTTTAAAGCTATGCTGTCCAATAGGGTGGCCACCAGCCTGTGTGCTATTGAGCCCTTGAAATGTGGCTAGTGAGATGGAGGAACTGAATTTTAAATTTTATATACATTTAATTCATTTAAATAATGAATTTAAAAACAAATACTCTACATCTTGGAAATCTTTTAAGTCTGTTTGGAACAACTTTGGTATGTGAATCTACTTTTTCAACTGTAAGTTTTATGAACTCTAAATATAGATCAAATATTTTTGATGAAAACATAGTGTTCAAATTAAGATGTGCTGTTAAGTGTAAAATGCATGCTGGGGTTTGAGGACTTAGTACAAAAACAAAGAATATAAACTATCTCAATCAGATTTTCAAATTGAGGGGCCGGCCCGGTGGCACAGCATTAAGTTCGCACGTTCTGCTTCAGCGGCCTGGGGTTCACCAGTTCAGATCCCCGGTGCGGACATGGCACTGCTTGGCAAGCCATGCTGTGGCAGTCGTCCCACATATAAAGTAAAGGAAGATGGGCACAGATGTTAGCTCAGGGCCAGTCTTCCTCAGCAAAAAGAGGAGGATTGGCAGCAGATGTTAGCTCAGGGCTAATCTTCCTCAAAAAAAAAAAAAAAATTTTCATATTGATTACGTTTTGGATGTATTGGGTTAAATAAATTATTAAAATTAGTTTCACCTGTTTCTTCTTACTCGTTTTATGTGCCTACTAGAAAATTTAGAGTTACACATGGCACGCATTATGTTTCTATTGGACAGTGCTGTTTCAAAGCATTTGCAAGAAATTATTCTTTATCCTCTGGCACTGCAAAATGTTTTCAGTGCACGTCTCCTAAGCTAGGTGTTCAGAGACTGCTGTTTCCTGGGTAGGGGCTGTGCTGGGGGCACTGGCAGCATAGAAATAATTCTTGGTGTTGTGGGTGAAGGGAGATAGCCCAGGCTCTAGCCTCAGCCTCCAACTCCAGGGAATGGAGACTCTGGCCACCTCCACCTTTCCCTTCTCGAATCTCTTGCCTTGCTCCCCACAGTGTCTCTGGCAAATGTGTGACTGGGTGGGGAGGGAGGAGGATGCCACTTGCCGGGGGCTTCTTGCCAGGAACTAAAGAAACTCCAAGAGGAGGAACGCCAATCTGAGAAAAAAACCCAGCCGCCTCAGATGTCGCAGCAGCCGCCCCCACCGCAGCTACAGGAGGAGCAGCCACCACCCTCACCAACACGGCTGCAGCCGCCACCACCATCACCATCACCATCACCACCGCCATTAACATCACCACCGCAGCCTCCACCGCCAGCACAGCTACCAGCTCGGCTAAGGCAACAAAATGTCCAAGACCCTCTTATTCAGCGCACCTCCAAGTACATTATCCAGGATTCCCAAAGGCCAGGTCCTCAGCTTGGCTTACTGGGGACCGATCAAACTGGAGGGCAATCCACCTACTTTAACAACAACAGATTCCAAGGAGAGAAGAAACTCCCTCAAGGCCCTGGTGAGACCCCTGGGAGCGGGGAGGTGGGTAGGAGAGTTCTTTGCTCCCATTCCGGCCCTTTAGTCTAGATTCCACATCTGTCACCCCGCCCTCTCTGACTATCCCCAGTACCCTTGGCCTTTACTTGAGGGCCACTCCCTCTGGGTATGTTTGTGCCAACCTAGGGCTGCAAAGAAGGCTGCCAACTTCTGCAGAGGGTGGCTGAGAAGTTGTCAACTCCTCCTCCAGGGTGAGGGTGACACAGCACGTGGGGATGGTCAGAGGGTGGGATATGAGTTGAAAGCTTAACAACAGATATACTAAGCTCTGTAAGGTCTGGAACAGGGAATCACAGCGTGGCTTCCTAGTTGCCAATTTTCAGGCTAGGCTCCGTCTGCACCTGGCCCCAGGTAGCGGCTGCCTCCTGCCTGCCCAGCACATAGTCGAGTCCAGCTCTGTCACGTTCTATTCTCAGAAAGTGCCGGATGAGTAATGTGTGCTTTGTTTCATCACCAGGTTTTAGGAAATCCTACCAATCTAGCCCAGATAAATACACTGGGACCTCACGATTCACGGTAAGACATAGAGTGTGAAAAGCAGACTCTGGCTGAGTGGCTGCGAGTGTGCTTGTGTGTAAGTGCATGCGGAGTCTAGAGGCTTCCTTGGCAGGAAAGGGGGGAGGGGCTGCAACTACAGAGTCACTTCTGGATGGTCCATTCCTCCATGTGTTGCCTCCATGAAAATGTCTAGGTAGGGCCTGTTGGTCAGCACTAAGTGGAGGGGTTGACAATCTATTTGGAAAGATAGGAAAGGTGCCAGAGAAGCAAAATAAAGCAGCTGTTTTGTTTTTTAAGATTGGCACCTGAGCTAACAACTGCTGCCAATTTTTTTTTCTTCTCCCCAAAGTGCCCCCAGTACATAGTTGTATATTCTAGTTGTGAGTGCCTCTGGTTGTGCTGTGTGGGACACCACCTCAGCATGGCCTGATGAGCAGTGCCACGTCCACGCCCAGGATCCGAACCAGCGAAACCCTGGGTCGCTGAAGCAGAGCGCACGAACTTAACCACTCGGCCACGGGGTCGGCCCCAAGGGGCTGTTTTAAGTGCTGACTGGGGTAGAGTCAGCTGGAGCAGGAGAAAGGCAAGACCTGAAGTCAGAGGTTGTTGGTCTCAGTCAGGATCACCCCTCCCTGGTGGTGTGATTTAATCTCTGAGCCTCAGCTACCCATCCATAAAACGAGAATGATAATACCATCTCCTTAATAGAGGTGTCATGAGGACTGAATGTGGCAATTAAAAGAGAGGGAATCAAAAGCACTTAGCTGAGAGCCCGAGCCTGGCTCATTGGAGGCCATCAAACCCAGGATGGTAACTCTCCATGAGGATTACATAAAACAGTACAAGATTAGGCCTCAAAGGGCTTAATACAAGGTTCTGAAACCAGCAGGCCCAGAAACTGCTACCTAACCTGTTTTGTCTCCTCTCTCTCTCTCTTCTCAGTCAACGAATTACACACAGCAGTGGTGATCCAGAGATAGACCCCAAGATCCCACAGGCCATCCGCAAAAAACAGATGAGCAACCCCACCTTCTTCCCACCCAGCCACATCTTGCCTCCAAAGCCCCTCTCTCTTGATCCACTCTAGAAGAGGAGCCTAGCTGAGAATAAAGTGTGATTTCTTCCTGGAAAGAATCAAGAGACTGCTCAGCTCTATAAGACAAGGAGGAGGGGAAGGGTCAGGAGGACCCATGAAGGGGATGGAGTGCGTGGGAGAAGAAAATGGAAGACAATTCCATGCTTCTCTAGGAAAAGCCAATGGGAGACCTTGGCCTTGGGTCCCCCAAGTCTACAGCTCCACTACTGGCCCTTGTTTAGCAATGACAGGTCTGTTGGTAGCTTCAGGTTTATGACTCTCAGTGGAGCCATCACTGCTCCCTGCTGGCCGATGCTTAGTGAGATACAGCTGGGGAACGAGGAGTTGCAGTACACCAGAGCAGGCCAGCGGCAGCAGTAGGAAGAGGTGGCAGGCAGGGACCCGCCGAGTCCAGTGTAATGCCTGGCCCACAGTGGGCACTCAGCTTTGAATGGATGATGAGGGGCAGGGATGGAGAGAAAGAGCTCAGAAGAAAGGGTAGCTGTAACCTCAGGCACAAGACACCTGACCCTGGGAAGGAGAGGGTGACTTGCCCACAAAGATCCACAGGCCTCTTCCTTCCTGGGTCTCAGCCTTTCCATATAGCAGAGGCAGCCAAGAGGCTACAAAGGCCCCAGGCAATCCACCTCCCCACTTCCTGAAGCTGACACCTGGCGTCTCCCTGCCCTTTCTTCTACCTTGGACTGGGGAGGGGGATGCCTGGGGCCTTTCATTGTAGCCCACACAGCATCACCTTTGGGTCAGTCTGAAAGAGCTCCTCAATGCAGTGTTTCCTGAGGGGAGAGCTGGGGGAGGGATGCGGGGGTGGGGGGCACAGAACAGGAATATTAACGTTTGTAGGGATCTTACAGATACACAATGAGCGAAAGGGAGAGCGCCAGCTCCTGGGAGCAATCTCTCAGAAGCCAGAAAAGCAGGACATTGTTATCAAGGGGCTCAGGGCCCGGGGAAGAGACCTCGATGTTTACTCGGACACTGAGACACAGGCTGTGAGATGGGGAGTGTCCACCAGCTCCCTTCCCACTCACAGGAGACTTTTTGTTTGTTTGTTTTAACGTTAAGTATAGTTTATTGACTACAATATAAATCCTTTACATTTGGTAACCTACACACAGCAGAAGCCCAGGCCTGGCCTTCCTGGACGTCTGTGCTCTTGCCAGCACCACCTTGACCCCAGTTACGGAGGCAAGAAAGCATGGAGACAGCACGAACTCCCTCCTTCCCCTCCTTCCCCCAGCCAGCTAGTCGCCAGGTTCTCTCACCACTTCCCGCCCTCCATCCTTTCTACTTCAAATTCAGCTTTCTCTCCACCTAAGCTCATCTCTCTGCCTGTCTGAGTGATAAAAACCATAGCCACCTTTAGTGAGCAAATACCATTCTTGGTCCGCTGAAGAATAGAAACCGCCTCCACGTGGAGCCTAGTGGGAACCTGGGGGTTATCTGGGGCTTAGCTTCATCTGAGTGACAGCAAAGAGGAAAGCGTCTAGACCAGCCCCCACTGACAGGCAGCTCTACAATGTCAATGCCTGAAGGAAAGCGGAGGCCTCTGGAGCAGACGGTGGGCTCAGGTGCTAAGCTGGGGATGCAGCAGAGCCCAGCAATGTGGCTGAATACTGACAGCTTCCCTTCTGCAGACTTGCAGGGTAAGAGTGGCTGGGCCCACCCTTTGACCTGCCTGTGTCCACTCACATGGGCTCGGGGTTGCGGGCCCACCACCAGCCAGAAGCCATCCTTTAATACCTACCTTTTAAAATGATTCTGGCTTTGTCTGTTTCTCCTGTGTAGGCCCAGGAGGTGCCAGGTGCCTTCCTCACCTCTCCTACTACTTTGGCTCATGCTGTGAAGAGAACACAACTGCTTTATAGAGAGGAGAAGTTTTAGCTGGAGAACAGGTCTGTCTTCCCAGGAACAGGGATAGCCTTTAACCAGGAACTACGTGGAGCCAAAGGGCCTTGGCCAATCTTGCTGTCAGGTGGGCAGGCGACAAGTTACCAGGAGAGAAGCAGACCATCACCATTACTTTGTCACACAACCAAAGCAGGGAGGCACAGGAGAGCATCCATGGACCTTTAAAAGGCCCCGGAGACAGCACTGGATGTCCCACAAATCACTTGCCCATCATTGGGTGCAGAACTTGAAAAGGATCCATGTTTTAAAAGCCAGATAAGATGAAAGCTGTCTCCACATTCAGGCAGGAGGAAGGTCGCCCCAGAGGAGCTGGGCAACCAGGGTGCTCAGCGCAGAAAGGGCAGGGGCCACTCCAGGGCCTCTCAGGCAGCTCTGAGGAAACGTCCGGTCAGACTTTCCTCAAGACCGCCCGAGGGGAAAAATGTGGCGCCAGCACCTAGAAGAACCAGGCTTCTGCTCCTGTGGAAATCCAAGAAGGTGCGAGCGTGTGTGTGTGTGTATGAAGCTAACTTCCACAGAAAGCTTCCTGTGCTGAGGTGTGGGGGAGGGTATGAAAAGTAGGGCTTTTCCTCTGGCAAAGTCACCACAGTCCTTCCTTGGGCACCATGGAGTTGTGGGAGATACAGACCAGGCTGGCAGGTGCCTGGAGTTCGAGGACAGCAGACAGGTCACGGTGGGTGAGGGCCCCGCAAGTGGGGCACTGACTTATTTCCCCGGCAGTCCACGTATTCATAGCTCTGGAAGACGAGCTGCTCTGAATGGCTCAGGTAGGAGCAGGTCAGGGTGCCCCTGGAGAGGAAGCAGGCTTTGCTGTTGTGTCTGGGAGGAAGAGGAAAGCTCTGGTCCTGCCCTGCTGTCTGGGGAAGGTTGGCTCCATCAGACACCCTGCCCTGCCTTCTACTCCCGACCCTGCCAAAGCACCTGGGACAGCTGCCCCGCCTGTGTTCCAGATAGCTCTCTGGCTGTCACACCAATAGCTTACAAGCAAGGTGGGGCATAGGGAAGGGGCCGGGCCTACTATTTCCAGGAGCCAACAAAGATTCATGGGGTCAGCTTAGACGACTCTCCTCCCGCGAGGTGGGGCTGAGGTAAGACTGGAGTCAGAAGTGGGAGAGGGGATACGGGGCTCCAAGCCCTACTTACTGGATGTGCAGCAGCACATGGTGGACACTGACTTCCAGCCAGGTACAGATTTTGCTGAGAGACAGAGAGAGAGAGAGAGAGAACATGGGGCCACATTTCACACTGAGCAGCCTGTCAGAAAGCTTGGAAGAGACCTGCGGGTCCCAGCCTCCTCGCCTCCTTTCCATCAGGGGCCCCAAATGCCACTCTCCCACCACTTCCCTCTCCCTCAGGTGAGCATGTCACTCTTGCTGCAATATTCCTCCAACCCCCACCAGCTTGACCCAGGCACATGCTGGCCCCTCCTTCTCCAGCGACTCAGGCTGAAGAGCCCAAGGTCACATATAAGGACTAACCAAATTCTAGCCTGTTTTTCGTTCCAATCTAGGTCCAAACAGGCAGAGGCTGGGGACCCTGAACTCTTGCATATTGCTGTCTTGGCCGCGAGAATACAGACAAATGCTGGCTGCAGAGTTTGCTAAGCAATCAAGAAATCTGATGGGGATTAAAACTGGGTTTCCAACCAGGAAAGAGGCTAAGGGAGAAGAGATCAAGGGATACTCACTATGTGTTTTCATCACATATTCGGTTGGCTACTGCATAAAACATCTGTCAACCAAGTGGGTATAGGTTAGCCTACCTCCAGCCGCCCCCTTCCCACAACCACACGCCTCCAAACACCTGTGGGCAGGGCTGGCCAGGGAAAGGGAGTCACCTGTTCACTGGCCAAAGGGCCAATGTTTAGGAGGAGGCTCTCCGAGACCTGCCCCACCACGAGGGACAGGTGCAGCACTTCGATGGTCAGCTGTGTCACCGTGATGGGGTAGTAGTTGCTATTGGAGATGTTCAAGATGTTCTGGGGATGAAGACAAGGAAAGAGAGGGGTGAGGGTGGCCATCCTTGGAAGGGAGAAGACCATCAGTTATAAAAACCCAGGCCTGACTGCGCCCTACCTCCATTAGGGGCCTCAGCTGCTGAGGACCAGTGCCAGGAGCCCCTCAGAGGGGCTCGTAATGGCAAGGGGTCACCTTTGACTAAGATATGAAGCTGGCTCAGAATCCAGTCTCACCCTGCAAGGCTTCTCTCCATTCAGTCCTGCCCCCACCCAGGCAGTCTCAGTCACACCACCCCCACTGCACCCTGGGGTTTAGTCCTCTAGCCCCGATTCTGACCCCTCACCATGTAGACTCCCAATCCTACACAATCTGTTGTGGGGCTCATGGTTGCCCCTGCCTCTCCCCAGGCTTCTGACACCCTCTGCCATAAGATCCTGGCTACCCACACCCAGGGGCACGACACTGGACAAGGGCTACAGAGAAGTGCTGCTGGGAAGGTGGGGGTTGGAGCTCAGGGGCATGGGCACCCACCCACCGTTATGTTGATATGGACATCAGCCTTGTCAAAGGCCACTGTGGAGGAGTTGACGCCAGCAGGCTGCACAGCAATGGACCGGGGAAACAGGAAAAAGACCATGAGGGAGGAGGTCACCAGGCAGATGAGCACCGCCAGGAACACGGAGCGCTTCCTGTGGGAAAGCAGACCCGGGGCAGAGCAGTAGAGATATCCGAACACCAAGGAAACCTGGGCATGGGGCACCCAGACACCCCCTCCATATACAAGGCTCTCCTCTGTACACCCCTCATATCTGTACCCTTAGCTCCCCAGATGTGGAGGACCAGCCTAGGCTCAGACCACACAACACACAGGATTGGGAGGTAGGCAGCCTGGCTTCCACTCCCAGCTCTCTGTACCCACCTGCCCAGTAACTCTGAGCAATGCACCTAACCTCCCTAAGCCTCAGTTTCCTTGTCTGTAAAATGGAGATAATTGTACCTATGTCATAGAATTTGTTATGGGTTAATGTAAGAAAAAGCACTAATTTCAGGTCCTGGCACTTAGCAAACGCTCAACAAATGCCATTACCACTGGAAGAAGTCAGTCCACGTGAATTTTGAGAGTTCTGAATTTTAATAATATTCAGAACAGGACATCACCTGTCCATCTAATTGAAAATTGTGATAGGCATTAAAGAGACAGCACCTTGTCAGTATCTTATGAGGGGCACTGCCAGATGCAGATTCTGGTGTAGTGCTGGGGGAGGGCAGTGGTAGCTCCCAGACTGAAGCTGAGGACCTTGGGAGGAAGCTGTAGGGATCCATGTCTAATGGACCCAGATGACAAACAGGGTCATGGGCCCCCGGTAAAACTCAGGGCTGCATCTGAGGTTCTGACGTGTCTCAGAACAGGGAGCAGCTGGTTTTCCATCTCTACTGGGAAGAGTACAAGCAGGTCTGAACTGCCACAGCAAGGAGAGCTCTTCGGAAAAATAACTTCCCCCAACCAATTGTGGCCAGGCCACTCCCTCCCTCCTGGAAGGACTTGTAGAGTCAAGAGGTCCCCTCTGTTTCGAAAGGGAACCATGCCTCTTGGAAGCAGTGGTGCTCAGGAGGAGGACACCAGTGGCCTCAGGTGGCATCTGTTGGGCCTTGGGCTTCTTAAGACTGGAAACAAGAAAATCCTTGGAAACAAGGAGCTGGTACATATGAGCCTGGTGAGGTTCAGGTTTTCTGGGGGAGAACCAATGGAGAAAAACTGGAGGGACAGCCCCCAGGGGTGACGTCCTGTGGAGCTGGGGTAGGAAGAAGGGCTTACGTGTGCCTGGGCTTCAGCCTTTGGTCCCCATAGGGGATGAGGGCCACCAGCTGCTTCTCTAGCTCTGTAGAGAGAAAGAAGGTGAGAGGGAGGGCCACAAAGTGTGTGACAAATGCTTCCTGTGCCGGCTTCCTAGAAGCACCCCTCCACCCCACAGAACAATGTCAGAAGCATGCCACCTCTGCCCAGAGCAGGACTGGGAGCCCTGGGCTGTGCTGCTGCAGTTGGCAGCACAGCTTTGCCATCTCTAGAATGCAAGTGCAATTTTCATTAACAGGTGTGAAGAATCTCTGCAAGTCAGCAGCAAATCAGAGAAGCCTAGCTTCCTTGGAGAGGTCAATTATAACTTCCTGAATGCTAAGGCACAGTGTTGCTAAGGAAGCAGAGAGGCTGGAAACCCCCTAGGGCAGAAGGGGGTCTCTGCAGTGAGCCGAGGGCATCAGTACCTCCCTGGCCAGCCTGAAACTGGGGGACGAAGAGCTGGGAGACCAGACCCCATTCAAAGAGACTCAGAGGCGTCTGGCCCTGGGCGGATTGCCTGCTAACATCTTTTCCTGGATTCCAGTCTATTTCCGGAGGCTTCGGCAACTCACCTCGAGGGATCTCCCCACTGCCCTGGCAGGTGGGACAAGTCACAAAGCTGGCACCAGCAGCCCCTTCACAAGGCACACCAGAACAAAAAGACTTCCTGCTACCGGTGCTGGAGTAGCTGGCAGCCTTGCTGCCAATGGCTGGGTGGTGGGGCGGGATCAGCTTGTTCTCCTCCTCCTGAGAGCCCAGCAGGGAGAACGTCATACCCATCGTTCAGGGGGATTTTTCACTAATGAGAAAAGAACAAAGTTCAGTGCTAAGCTTGTTCGCATTGACACAGAATGTCACTCTGGGTTTAGGTCCTCAAGATTGGCAAGGAGCCCCACCACAATTTCAGGCAGTTCAAGCCTAACGAAGCTAGGTTATAGAAAAATCACGGTTACCCAGGACTCGCAGGTCAGAAATCTCAATTCATTTCAACTCCTTTCCTTATTGTAGGAGAGCTCAATCTGCCTATGAGAGGGAAAAGAAAAACAAATTCTTTCATTACAAGGGGCTTCCATAAGTGAATGGCAGAGCCCTTATTTTTTTCTGAAAAAGTTGCTGAGCTGTCATTTACTTCAGGGGAAGGAAGTTGGACAGAGCTGGGAGGGCAGCAGTCCGGAGAGTCCCTTCATTCTCTGCAAGAAGATGGCTCTGAAGAGGTCTCTAGAGGATCTGTGGCAGAAATGCCTGAGGTCTCCCAACGTGGGTGTGGAAGGAAAGCTTCCATTCCTGAGCCCAGGCAGGTGCTGGCTTAATAGGAAGGCAGAGATCCTTTGAAATAAGAATGGAGGCTAGACTGGTCACAGGTGTGGCTAAGAACCTTAAGATAGTTCTGGAGGGGAGCATAAACCTCTTCCTCGCTGCTTTCTGAGGTAGAGTAGGAAAGAATGCCTAGGGGAGGGTGGCAGAAATGTCAGGGTCCTTCACTAGGAAGGGTGAAGGCTATATCCAGATTCTTCCTCAAAGGCTCAAGCGTGGTGGAGGAAAGAGTGGGCAGGTGAGCCGCACTCAGACCTTCCCGGGCTAATATGAAGGGAGGCTCACCTGGGTCGGGTCTGGGATTCCCGGGCTCCTTTCGGTTGCAAGAGGGCGAGAGTTCTGGAGCTCGTCTTTGGGGAGAAGGGCCTGTAGGGCAAGGTGGCCCGAGGGGCCACTGGCCCCTTCAGCGGAGTCCTGGGGGAGCGAACGCGCCGCGCTGGAGAAGTGCGGAGCAGCGACCCTGGCCTCCCGGAGGTCCAAGCTGCTTCCCGCCCTCCTCTGGGGCTCGGCCATGGGCCAGTGGGCGAGAGCGAACGCAGAGGCTGCGACTTCACTGCGGGAGGATTTCAAGTCCCACCAAACACCCCGACAGGCCGTTGGTCGAGCTTGGTCCCCGCGTGCCTGTGTGTTGGGCTAGGAAGAGGCACAGAAGGCGCCTTGGCCCTTGCCTCTCAAAAGGAAAGGGAAAGAGGGTCCCGGGAGCGCCTTACCCGCAGGCGACGGAAAGACGAACGGCCGCCAGAGAAACCGAAAGTGTCTGAGCCCAGGGCTCGCCCCAAGCTTTGACTCCGGGCTTTGCGAAGCTCCGCCCCAGCTCCTCCTGGCCCGCCCCCGCCTTCCAGGGACCCGCCCCTCCCTCCCGGGGACCCGCCCCCTGCCCTCCCTCCTAGGAGCCAGAGAAGCTCTTGGCTCTTCAAAGGTCACCCGAGGTCCCACAGGCTGCTTCCTCAAGGACCAGCCAACCCAGGTAGGAGTTTGAAAGAACCTTTATTTCACCATTCTTTACAAGTACAACAGGACGGACGACTGGACCCCTACAATGCGACCTAGATGGTGGAGACATGTCCCGCCCGAAATCAACCCAATTAATTAAACACACCCTGCCGCTCAGCCTCTACCCAGAAGCCCCGATAAAAACGTTTTAAATAATGAACAGCCTGGCTGGCTTGCAGTCTGAATTCTGGCTTATTTATTTAATAGCATTCAAGAGTTATACTGTAAATAAACATCATTATGGCTAATAATTAAAATCACCGTTCATTATAAATACCAACCAGGTTAAATAATACTATTTTACTATCCCTCCCCCTTCTGGCTGGGGGTGATTCTTCTTTCTCTGTAAGTCATTTTCATGAATAATATCTTTTAGTGTTTTTTGTTACCTCTTCCTTCACCAGTTGTACCCAAGGGAGTCTTGGATACAAAACGGAGTGAGGATCTGGGCCCCTGGAAGCAAGCTCTTTCCCACTCATGCTGGGGTTAAACCCAAACTTTGTCAGTGAGTTTGTGCCATACAAACACCAGCCTCTTCTTCCTGTTCTAGGCTCTCTAGGGCTAGATGCCTTTGAACAGATTTGAAACATTCAAGAAGTCATTCAGATTTCTTTTGCCTCTCACATTCTCATTTGCCCGCCCCTGAACTTTGGGATTAACACAGGAGCCTGCCTTTCACTTTCCACGTTTCTATGTTCTCCCACTCTACTGTAAATAAGATCTGCTCCGACATTAAGCACAAAAGGTAACTGTTTCATTTACTTTCCCTTTAATAGAAGTTTTTTTTTCCTTCTCTATAGGATTAGCAAAATATTCCACACTACCTACTTAAAAATTTTCCCTTAAATAAAAGAAAAATGTATGCAAAAATTACTACAATAGCTACTGCTCAATAGGTGCTGGTGGGTTAATGAGCACACTCCCTGGTCCTTTCACTGAAGTGCAGAGACCCAGCAGGTGGATATTCTTAAATGCATCAATGGGGTCTTTTGAAGACAGTGCCATTACTAAGTCGTGCAGAGAAATGACTTTCTCCTTGAGAAAGGAAGAGTAACAAACATTCCTATCACACTCTGGGTGTCATTTCAGTACCATATAGCTATGAGGCTTGGGGTAAGTTAGAGAAATTATGAGAATAATTCTTGAAAACAACTTCCAAGGTTAATTTCTTTTAAAAACTGACAACAGATATCCTCATAGAAACATCCACATTAACCAAAGAAAAATACTTAACCTCAATACAAGCAGAAAGAAAAATGGTTCTATAAGAAGTGAGTTATACTCTTCAAAGCACTAAAAAGGAGAAAAGAGTTTTATCCAAATCAATTGAAAAACCGTCTTGCTAATATTCATTCAACGTCTAAAGTAAAACCTTAAGTTCTGGTCTTTGATTTGCTCCAAAAAATACTGTAATGCAGATATTCTCTTAATTCAGTGATGGGCTCTATACAGATTCATCAGATTAAAAAATAAGCAAGGGCTTCTACCCCATACCCCAACGACAGAATAAATGTCATCTCTGAGCAGCAGGCAAAGTTATTTAATACAAGGTGGCTCCTCAGTAGCGGTGGCTGTACCAGTCGTTGTTGTTGACTTGAAGGAGTTCTGTTACAACCTGTAGGATGTTGTAATTGTGTTTCTTCAGCAGCCTTAGGTTTAGCTGCCTGTCACAGAATCCCATTTCAAAGAGATGGGCCATCAGGGCTGCTGTCTGATCTTCAGAAACTATTGGCTGTGTAGAGTCAAGAAAAGCAGTACAACATTTTCTGTATAATTTATGTGTTTATCTTGTAAATTTTTATCATCTTGTAAGTCATACTAATCTTTCCAGATTTATTCAAAATAGACAGTAATGAGATGCAAGAGTATGGCACTCCTGTCCACCTGACACTAATGGGTCTTCCGAGGGGGTAAGAAGGACTGGGAAGGCTCTGCTGTGGATTAGGTGTGTTGTACTCAAAACTGGCAACTAATGAACTGAGGAGAATGCTTCAGAGGGGACTGTCAGAAGGAAGCATTCTTGGAAGGAAAAGATGCAAATATAGTCTGGAAACCCTGTGAAGATATAGGTAATCGTGATGGGGCAAGTATAAGCAAGACAAGAGACTGTTACAGGACGATAGGATGGGAAATCTAGTCAGATACGCGAAGGAGCTGGAAAAAACTGCTTGGGAAATTACATCCTGGGTGACCTTCTTGGCTTTTTTTTTTTTTTTTTAAAGAATGCACATTATCCAGGGAAGAGGGAGCTAACGTTCATTTACCTCCCTCTTTGGGCCAAGCCCTGTGGCGGACACATAACCTTCCTAAATCCTCCTAATCCTTGGAATACCCTAACTCTTACCATTTACTTACCAATTGGGTTGACTATCAATTCCCTTATTTATGAAAATTGAGATACAGAATACCTCCTATCTTGCAGGGTTGTTGAGAGGATTAAGATGAGAAAGTATGTAAACGTGTTGAGCAGTCTCTGGCACTTCCCTCTACAGCTAATTCCACTGTTCCCATCTTCCCTCTTATTTCAGAATAAACATCTCCATCTTCCTTTCTAGATGAATCCTTCCACATGTTCTTTGCTTTGTATCTCATTACCTCTTACCACCTCAGAAATACTTTCCTATGTATTATGCTCTCTCATCTTGATTGTTACCCTCCTTCACTACTGGCTTGCCCATCTTTACAAATGTCCCCCTCTACCTTATGCATCTTCGCTTTTGCTTTTTCTCTCTGTAGTCCAGCTGTTTCAAAGTGAGGCATACTTGCACTCTCAAAGTCCTCTCCACCTGTTCATACTTCTCTGCAGCATCTGACACTGTTCACCATGTCCTCATTAAAAGTCCCTTCCCTAAGCTCCAGCACGGAACTCTCTCTTCATTTTCCTCCTAGTTCTCAGTCTTTTTTTGCAAGGCCCTCCTTCTTTCCATGATCTTTAAAGGCTGCTTCTTGCTTTACTCATTCCCTCCTGGAAAATTTCATCCAATCACATGGCTCCTGCTATAGCCTGTACATAAGTGATGTTATCTCCAGGCCAAATTTCTCCCCTGTGATCCAGATGTATGTATCCAACTGCACTCTGGATAACTTTACCTGGATGTGCCTCAAATTCACCACTATGCAAAACTGACCTCCTGCCCAAATATATCCTCCTTCCTGCAGAGCCTCTCTCTCTTTTTTTTTTTTTGAGGAAGATCAGCCCTGAGTTAACATTTGCCAATCCTCCTCTTTTTGCTGAGGAAGACTAGCCCTGAGCTAACATCCGTGCCCATCTTCCTCTACTTTATATGTGAGACACCTACCACAGCATGGCTTGATGAGCGGTGCCATGTCTGCACCTGGGATCCGAACTGGGGGACCCCACACCGCCAAAGCAGAACGTGCGAACTTAACTGCTGCACCACCGGGCCAGCCCCTCTTTTTTTTTTTTAAGATTGGCACCTGAGCTAATAACTCTTGTCAATTTTTTTTTCCCTCCTCCTTCGTCTCCCCAAAGCCCCCCAGTACATAGCTGTACATTCTGGTTCTGAGTGCCTCTGGTTGTGCTATGTGGGATGCTGCCTCAGCATGGCCTGATGAGTGGTGCCATGTCCGCGCCCAGGATCTGAACTGGCGAAACCCTGGGCCGAGGAAGCAGAGTGTGCGAACTTAACCACTCAGCCATGGGGCCGGCCCCAGAGCCTCTCTTAATGATTGGTATTATCGACTGTCTAAGCAAGAAACCTGGGATTTATCCTTGACTTGTTTCTAACCCCTTAATTGTGGTCTTCAAGTTGTGCCCTTTCTCTCTCTTTACTTCTCTTCTACCCTTCTTTTCCACCTAGATATAGATTCTCAAAAGGATTTCTTTACTGGCTCCATCAGCCTCCACACTATAGTGGAGTTACTGTACTAAAAACAAATCTGATCATGTTAATTACTTCCGTAAAACCCTTCAATGGCTCCTCCCACTAGCCTTAAAATAAAATCCAAACCACTTAACACGGCTTCTCCACTACATAGGCGGTCTTTTCTCTTACTCTTCTCAGCCCAAATTCACCTTCCAGGCTCACATTTCCAAGTCTTTCTACTGGCTACTCTCTGTCTGCAATGCCCTTCCCATCCCTCTTTCCTGGCAAACACTTGTTGTGTCCTTTAGGACTCAGTTCAGGCATCATGTACAAGGAAGCCTTCCCTGACCCACCTAGGGGCCCACGCCAGGCTGCAGTGTTCCATCTGTCTGAGAATACTGGCACATTATCTGACACTGTACTGTAAATGTCTGTTTACCTCACTTGTTTCCCATGTCTCTGGGTAGGAACTGGTGTCTTATTCATCTTATAGTGCCGGCACCTGGAAGGACTCCCCGCAAACAGTAGGTCCTCAACAAACATTAGGTCTTTTCCCTTTCTTCCCTTAAGTAACTTGGCCAAAGTCATACAGCAAGAAAGTGGAGGAGTTGTGCTTTAACCAAACACTAAACCTAGAGCTCACGCTTTCTACAATGCCACGCTACTCTCCAACTTAGATGCTATCGTTTTTATGGGTGACTTGGATTTGGTTCAGGAAAATAAAACATATACTCACCTGTGCAGTGACTGGTGGCCCAGCAAACAAGGCCTTATATGCAGAGGCAGCAACAGACAAAGCCCCCTTCACCAGTCCTCCTGCAATGCCGCTCCCATGGTGGTGGAACCTGCGGAGGAAAACCAAATTATCTTCCTAAAGAAACATAAACCATTATTTTCCTACAAGACAATCTGGGCTCTAATCTGTGAAAGAAAAGGAGATTTCCTCGAGAAAAAAGTCAGATATAAAAAGAGAATGTGACTGTTTTCATATCAGTTTTACAGCTAGAAATCTTGGTTTGAAGTAGG